AGCCGGGAGGGAGCAGCGGCAGGAAGTTATGTAGGATTTCGTGGAGGAGAAGCTTAGGCCGGAGTCGTTTGACCAGCGAGTAAGCGAGTCTAAGTCTTGCTGAAACTGGTGAAACGTAAGAGCTCGTGCTGATGGGAGGAATGTGTGCGCTATTTTTATGTCGTCCGCGAAGAGGAAGACTTTACAATGGGATACGGCACCGAAGACGTCGTTGATATACAGCAAGAAGAGGATGGGGCCTGGCACGCTTCCTTGGATGACTACACTAGTGATTGATAGTGGTGATGATTTTATGTCCCCAATTTGTGTTACTTGAGTCCTGTTACATAGGTAGGAGGCGAACCACTGAAATAAGGTTCCAGTGATGCCAACGTTACTAAGTTTGTGCAGCAGGGATGCATGGAAGACCTGGTCAAAGGCTCTTCGAATATCCAGGTAAACTGTTACAGTGAAGTTCCCGGCGTTGTAGGTTGCTGTGATGGTCTCGAAGAAGTGGAGCTGGCAGCTACTAACGGATCTTTGAGGCAGGAAACCATACTGCCAGCCATCTATGGCATTGGTTGTCAGTATAAACTTGGTTAATGGACCTTTGATCAGACGTTCAAGGGTTCTCACAAGGACGGAGGTATGATGGATTCCCCTGTAGTTAGAAGGAGTTTGCCTAGATCCGGATTTAAAGTTAGGGCGGATTACAGATTTCTTCCACTTCGTGACGCTTCCTTTTTCCAGCATCGGGGCAAGATACGATAGGTCAAACTGTTGGACCCAACAGCCGATAATGACCCAGGATTGGCCGAATACCGGTAGCCTATGGCGCAGCTATAATGCGTCAGGATTTCCAAAACGTTATCGCCGCTTACACTACGATTGCGAAGCGCTGTATTGGTTTTGTTTTGGGCGTTAATAGACCTTGTGCACCTTTGGTGGTCGTTTTGACGTGAACGCTAGCTTGGGAGGCTCAGACCGAGAACTGAGGAAAATTAAGCTGAGGAAAATACCGTTACAACAAGTGCATCTTCAAGATCTCTCTTTCAATTAATGTGACCGATGCTAAATCTGTGTACCTAAGATATTGTTTCTCGCTTCCTGACTTGTAAGGAATGTTTGGTAGCCAAACAAAGAACCTACAACGAGTCCATAGATCAAAGAAAAAAACAATGGTCCGCTACTCTGCTCGGTTGTCTAGGGCTTGCGAGCCCACCATAGTTAACCTTAGAGAATGACTTCTTCGTCATTCGCCATCAATCTCAAATATCTGCACTACATTCGCTTGTGACCAAGTCTTATTTGGCGTCCCCTGTAATTTTACCAGAAACTCGTCCACTGA